TCTGAAAAAATCTGTTGAAATCTGGATGTGCCATTTCGTGCTCGACAAAATTGAAGTACATCTGGGACATCGCTATTTGCGAGCAAAACATGGCCACGAGGAGAGAGAAGAACACGAGTTCAAGCGCTGATCATGAGTAGAATTTCCTTGTTTTATCAATTTTAGGTGTTCTCGGCTTAGCTAAGTATCAGAACTGTCTGTGATTCGTTAGCGCGGAAGAAATTTATTTGCGTGCTTTCCGGGCGATAATTGACATAATAACAACATGTTGAGTGTTCGCTTACTGCTAACTATGGCCTAGTTTGTTTGAATTTCACTCGATTCTCGATGCAGGAAGCTCTTGTTCAGTCCATTTAGGATGATACAGGCCTTTAGAAAGCAATAGATTGGCTCTCCGCCACGCTTTTGATATCTGTACATTCGTGTTGATTTAGACTCCAATTTCATGTTAAAAGCACTCTTAATTAAATTGTACAATTCATGATTCAACGAAAAGACGTTGAATTTAGTCTTCCTGGCCTCAAAAGGCATACGGGAGAGTTATTTGCTGCTATTTGAGCTACGATAAGCCACGTGGAAAGCTAGCTCTAGGACAGAATTGTAGCAAGATTATCAGTGACAAGTCAAATTCTATAGCTATGTTTTTGCAAATCGGGTCAGATATTTATGTAAAGCTAGCTAGCCTTTTCTTTTGAAAGTTTACAATTGCAGAGTTTTAGGAAGTATTTTTGGCTTAATGGTTACAAGGCTGCTGCCTAATGGGCGCCCGGTGGCCTGAGGCGCCTAAGTTACGAGTGTGGGCGACTGAAGTTTTGTTGAAGGAGCCCGAGTGGGCGCGTAAACATGGAGTTTTCATTCCCATCTAATCTGTCCGATGACTTCAATCTTCTCATGAAATCGGCCAAAAGATCATTCACACAATAAATTAAATGGAAAACAACAGCTACTCTGGTCCTGTTTTGCTTTTAACATGAGAAATATGGGCCAAAACACGGCAACAGTCTCTCTCCACTCACAAAACAACCGAAAACAGCCATAGTTGAAAATCGCCCTACAATGCATTTAGACTATGAGTAGTCCCTCTTTCGCTTAGTCTGTCGTACGTGATGCGAAAGAAACNATAATAATAATAATAATAATAATAATAATAATAACAATAACACAGCATAAAAAAGTTATCCCCAAAATTGAATAATTAGTCCATTGAATTGCATCACAAGATATATAATTATACTGTAACACCACTTTGTGTCAAAAAAAAAAAAGAAACGTAAAAAAAGTAGAGCAAATCTTTTTGTTGTTGTTTCTCTATTCAATTCTTTTATCTATGAGTCCATTCATAATGATTTCAGGTGCCAATGCCAATTGGTCAGCAGTTTACATGAACTCATGGTAGGTGGTGGGTGAAGGTGAACAACTTAAAAGGTCGAGCTCTTTTGCCCCTGCTACATGTGCATAGCAACCTGTTGAGCCTAAATAGTACAGTGGCTGTACATGTAATACAGTTAATCTGAACTGCACTCAGTTTTGGAGGCAGCGTGGCCGAGTGGTTAGGGCACTGGACTTGAAATCCGGAGGTGGTGGGTTCAAGCCCCGCTCTGACCACTAAGTAGAGTTGTTTCTCGGTAGACCCTAGTTCAATTCTTTGGTCACGCTTGTAAATAGCCAACTGGTCTACCTCCTTCCAGGTGGGGTTTTTGTAAGCTCAAGGCTGCTGCCTAACGGGCGCCCGGTCGCCTGAGGCGCCTAAGTTACGAGTGTGGGCGACTAAAGTTTCGTTGAAGGAGCCCGAGTGGGCGCGTAGACATGGAGTTTTCATTCCCATCTAATCTGTCCGATGACTTCAATCTTCTCATGAAATCGGCCAAAAGATCATTCACACAATAAATTAAACGGAAAACAACAGCTACTCTGGTCCTGTTTTG